TGAGTGAGGTTGAAACCAGCGATCCCGCGACGATGCGGTACGTGAATCAGTTCATGTACAGTCATCTTTACCCAGACCAACAGGATTATGCGGAACCTGAGGTTAAGGAAAACCAGCGAGGTCGTCCCAAGAAAACTAATTCAACTAAGCGTAAACCATGTGCTTGGGAGTACAACGATAGATCGCGAGGTCGAAAATCGAGCCGTACGACCAGCTCTTCGCGTGGACAGACAAGCTCGTCTTCTCAACAGTCACAAGGGGAAGCAGGTAATACATTTTTTTTTTAAATATGGTTGAACGTTAATTAAAGTATTCATATGATTATATAAATCGTGACGTGAAATTATTATGATATTGCAGAGTTTAGACCGACAAATATATTTGATTTTACAATGTGGAAAAATATCCCCTGGCATATGTTGGACTACATAGTGAGTTACCTGAATGTGGAGGCAGATGGTAACTGCAGATTCGAGTCATCGCGAGTTACGTGTATGGTCACCAGAAGCACTGGGCAGTCGCAAGAGACACTGTCGATTGTACGAGTACATCTATTTTAGAGATATCGACACCGGACTCCGTCGAGTAAGGTGGGACGGGGGCCCTTGTGGACGGGCTCACTGGTTCGAAGTTTCGCAGGACCTCTACGCCGTTGCGACCCTATTTAATGCGGTTGTCGTTCTGTTGGGCTCTGGTCCGCAAGGTGGGCAGCACAACTTCTTCAACCTCACAGTGTTGCCTCCCAATAGATGATCATCGGCTAGAGGACGATATTTTTCGGAGGATCAGTACCAGGCTAGGTTGCAATCGTGGTTTACTGTTCAAAATAGACCTTTTTGAATAAAAGAACGATATTTTTCGGTTCAACAAAAAAACGATATTATTCAGTTGTGGTATGACGCTTCTCATTCAACTTAAGTTTAGCAAATAAAAAAAAAATGAATGAGTTCAACTTAAGTTTAGCAAATAAAAAAACATTAATTTTAATGGTTTATATACTAAAAATGACAAAAAAAAAAAAGTACCGTTAACGCAATTTCGATTGCTCTGTACACGAACCTATGTTCCTGCGCTCGAGACAGGCTCGTTCTCCTGAGTCGACCCATCGAGACTCTCAGGAGAACGAGCCTGTCTCGAAGCGCAGGAACATACGATCATGTTACATAGCAATCGAAAATCGCATTAACGGTACTTTTTTTTTCATTTTTAATATAAACCATTCAACTTAATGTTTTACCAAATAATAAATAAAAAAAAACCATTCAACTTAATGTTTTATAATAATAATAAAAAAAAATAACATTCATTACATCATTATTGGGCATTGTTGTAATCCAACTTAAACTTAGCTAATTCTTTTTCGACTTCCGCCGCCACCGGACATTCGCATCCCCACTGCCAAAGAAGGTCCACCCACTAAAAAAATAGAAGAATAAAAATATAAGACTAAAATTTATTAAAAAAATTATTGTAATGAAATAACATTAATTAGAATTTGTAAACAACTTACATAGGCGGTATTGACACGCGTAGGGACCTCGTTCTCGTCCAGCAGCTCCTCGCCCATGACAGTCGGATGGGAAACCCGACCGTACCACTGCAAGTAATCCTCAGTCGCCTCCCCACGATCATGTGTGGTGGGGGTCAACATATTGGTGTTGACCGTCCCAGACAATGGGAACTGGGTTCAGGCACCTACTGCAGCAGCCTCAGAATGCTCAACCCTATAGTTCCTAGACTCCCAAGCACGTACTGCACTGATTGGCGGGGTATGTAGGGGGAGGGACAGTCTGGACATACCCCAACTGACGCAGAAACCGCATAGAAAAGTACGGCTCGACAACATCGCGGTATCGAATCAATCCGCAATAAAGAGTCCTCGGCTCTATCGCATCTGGGCTGGAGCTGCCGTATGGCAACCATTGCACCTGTTCACAATTGCATAAAAGCATTTATAAAAATAATTATATTATTTTAAATAAAGGGTAACTAAATTTAAATAAAATAACTTTATGTACATCGGAGGCAGTGAGTCTGTCGAGGCGCCGACGGATGGCTGTGAGCCGATTGTCTGACCTTGGCGCATTCCCTATGCTCCACGAGCGAGATCGTGCGACACAGTCAGGACCGATGGGTAGACGCCCCTGGGGTCGGAAATCGGGAAAATACTCATATATCCAAGACTGCAGAAGAGCCCCGCAGCCCGACAGTCCACTGGAGTCCCCTCGGCTGGCAATACCTAGTTGTCTGTACATGTATGCCAGCGTAGCCGATCCCCATGAGTAACTCTCAATCACATCCTAACCGTCGAGCACCTCATGCAGGAGCTTGGGGGTCACTCTACTACCACTCTTGTCGACGAACAATGTGGTAGCCAGCATCACCCACATCCAGGAACCCGCCTCATCCCTAGCCGGTCGGCCTTTCCCCCTGAATGCCCCCACAATGGAAGCTTCGGTCACCGAACCACGCTGCCAGAACGAAATCATGAGTTCGGCCTTGGTGACCCAAAGTATCGACATGCAGAGCTCATGGCAGGCGTCTGAATCCGGGTCCTCAGCGACCCCGGCTCCCTCCACAGGAACGCCCAAAATGGCCCGGACGTCGTGCAGCGTGATGCTCATTTCACCAAAAGGCAGGTGAAACGAGTTAGTATCCGGCTGCCATCGCTCCACAAACGCAGAAAGGAGTAGAGTGTCCAAGTGGCTGTGCATGGAGTCGACCAGATATGACAGCCCGGTCTTGTCGATCAGAGCTCTCGCATTGGAAGACATCTCATCACGCTAAGCCCTCAGATTCTCGACCGCTCTCAGTCTGTTGTGGCATTTCAGCAGCCCCCTAAACTGTCCATTACACATTCGGGAGGCGACGTGCCCCAGAAAGCTAGGGATGACACTCCTATCAATGGGCCCACCGGCCACTAGGCCTTTAACAATCCAGGGTGCATCATCATCGGACCTAGCTCATTTGCTAGTACCTGCATTACAATACAACATATCTATATATATAGACTTGCTGGCAGATGCATTAAATAAAATATATTTAATAAAACATATTTCATAAGTTTTCCGCTCTTTTTTTTTTCAATTAATGTAGAAATGTTACATTTTACATTAATAAAATATAATGAAAATTTTAAACTAATTTTTTATGTAACGTTACTACTAATTGATTATAACAATAATAAAAGTAATTATAATAATTTTCTAACTGTCTGCCTGGATGGTTCCTCTAAATTACAAAATAATTATACCGTAGTTGAGGAGCATGCCGATAATACTTTTCTAACAGTACCGATAATATGTTATGATTAAGTAAAAATATTTTATGTTAAACAACAATAAGTACGTAAATTATTTACCTGATGAGGATGCAGGCGCTGCCAAAACGCCCCCCAGCCTGTCGTTGAGGAGCAGGCTATGTAGGACGAACAGCCTGTACCGGACGAACATGCTGTAGAACAGGCTGTACCGGACAAACAAGTTGTACAGGAGGAATAGGGTGGCTAGGACCCGTAGGCTGTGCGTGGTCTTGATCATCTGAGGAGTCGTCCGAGTCACACTCCTCTAGACCCTGCTCCCTCTCGCCGTACGACTCATCAGGATACCCCTGCTGACCGTAAGGTAATGGTGCGCGTGCGCGGGGGGTATCGACTTCCCTGCGTGGCAGGAAAAAGCATATCCCCACTGATCGTACGGTCCTAGTGTTGGGGGCATCGAACTGCCTACCTAGCCATGATAATAATATCTATGTTCACCGTACGGTAGGACTCCGTGGAGTCGCGAACTATCTGGCTGGCCCTCAAAATGATATCCTGGCGAACCATCTCATACTGGTGCAGGGGGTCTCGAACTCTGCTTAGCCTGAAGAATCTGTACCCCCCGAGCCTCATCGATCAACGTGTCTGTCCCGACGAACGGACGCATTGACACCCCGACTTCTAGTGTCTCGGGTGTCATAACCATCATAATAGTCATCGAATGCCTCGTCGTCGTTCCTGGCATTAGATTGTCCAGGTCTACTAACACCCTGAATCAGAAATATAATTATTAAATTTTTTCATATGTAATAACTATTGTAATAACTATTAAAATATATTATAATTTATTTTTATTTTTATTTATAAATTTTATTATTATAATTTTTAATTATTATTATAATTATTATTGTTGGAATTTATAATAAATATTATAATTAATTACAATTATTATTACAAATTATTATTATTATTAATTATAATTAATTCTAATTTATAATTATTATTATTATAATTCATTTTAATTATAATTATCATTACAAATTAATTATAATTATTATTAGAATTTATTATTAAAATTATTATAATTATTTCTAATTTATAATTATTATTATAATTAATTATAATTATTATTACAAATTATTATTATTTTTTATAATTATTATTATTATAAGCATTTATAATTTATAATTATTAATATTATTAATATTATTTTACAATTTATTAACTTATTATTATTATAATATTTAATTATTATTATAATTTATAATAATGTTATTATAATTATTATAATTAATTCTAATTTGTAATAATTATAATTATTATTATTTTAATTATAATTATTTATAATTTTTATTATAATTATTATTATTATTATAATTATTATAAAAACAAAAAAAATAAAAAGT